GTTGAGGTTTCATCTTTTTCTTCTTTTCTACGTTTGTATACCTAGCGGATCAGTCAAAAATTGTAGATTAATATTTCAAATGCCAAAAGAAGCCAGCTGCTTGTTCTAGTCTCTGACTCAGTTAAGCTCTTACAATATTTTGACTGTTTGAAGAAAATTAATAATGGGATGTTAAGCGGTAGATTAACTGAAACTAAATATCAACACAGCTAGATTTATTTTTGGATGGCTGAGCTCATCCCTTCAAAGAACGGAAACAGGATTTATTATATCATGAGTTATGAACTTACACAACACCAAAACGGCCCCCTCCACCCCCCAACAGAGCAGAGAGCCAGCCACAGCATATTTCAAGATTATGTAAGAGGCTGAGAGTTTATGTTTCCCATCAGCTAGGACTTGGCATTTACAGGATACAGTCAATTACCTAAGGCTCACAAAGACGCCAGAAGTTAAGACAATAATTGGAGTCAAACTAGTACCAATGCTCACTGCTTCTCCCTTGAGTAGAAGGTCCCCGCCTGCAGCCAATGCAAGCAAACGGATACATACAGAAGAGAAAGATGCTTTTATCGGTCACTCCCGCATCTATTCAGCAAACATTCCCTGAGCACCCCACCTGTCCTGCCTTCCCTCCTCCAGCCCCACCTGATATGCACGCACTACCTGGGGGTCCACACGTGTGACTGGGTATGTCGAACACAGTGCCCAGGCGGAAGGCGATCGCTCCTGACGTTTCTGATGGGCTCTAGAGCCCCGATGCTTCCAGCCAACACAGAAAGGCTGGTTTCACTTCTGATGTGCCAAATTGACCCCAATCACCTGAAAAAGTACCAATCCTATACTCTCCGGTTTCTCTTTTCCCCTTCTAGACTGTGAAGAAAACCTGATGATAGACCGTGGCTCCCCAAACGGGATCACCACACCTGCCTTTTGTTCACAGAATCCCCTGGAGTTCAGTGACTTTATGCCGTTTTCCTGTGCGTGTGCACAAAAATATCGCCACCGCGCCCTGCCCCTCCCTCCCCCGTACTCACACACCCAAACCGGAAGAGATCTGTAACAACAAGATTGGCACAACAGGAAATCACTGAAGAGAGGCCATTTAACTGGAGCTGTTCCTGGACCCCCCTTGTACGCCAGTGTGGACACCGTGCTGCTGCGCTTATGACTCAAGTGGCCCTGAGGAGAGAGCTGTCTGCTCTACTGCTCTCAGTGCTCCCCTTCCTCCTCCAGACAGTGGCCAGCACTGGCTCCAGAGCTTGGGTTCAACATCCACATTTATAATGCTCAGGCGACTATTGTTTAGAAAGCACCACTGGAAACAACCCAAACACACACAGAGAGAAAGAATACAGCGTACATAGTCACAGAAGGGACTGCTACCTAGCAAAGAAGATGGTCAAACTACCAGATCCGACCACCAACATGGATACGTCTCAGAAACCACACACACACACACACACACACACACACACAGGAAAGGAATACACAGTACGACACTATTTTTATAAAGTTCAGAATGCTTTAAGCAAACTAATTTGTGCATTACCTAGGAACGCATGCCCACATGGTAAACTGCATTTAAAAAGGAAGAGAAGAGGAGGATTACCAGGATAGTGGTGACTCTGGATGGAGAGGCAGGGACTGGGGAGGGGCACACACTGGTGAGGCTGTGCTTCTTAAACCGACTGGGGAGCGCTTGGGCTTATCCCTACGCTTTAGAACTGGCATACACGTTACACACATTCGTTTGTATGTATCAAATTACAGAATAAAAAACCTTTCAGAAGAAATGATCAGCTCAACGCCTGGCGACCCAAACCTTACCTGCCACCATCAGGAGCTATAAGCGATGGGAGGAGAAAGGCACCCGGAGACTTGGGAGTGGTGTCCTGGCTGTGGGGCCCAGGAGAACCTCCTGTCCCCGGCCTTCTCACTTGTGACAAGAAAACCAAGTGGACGCTGACCTTCCCGGCCCTGCCTCTCTCTCCCTGGGGAATCATCGCCTCCGGCCCGCGCAGTTCCCTGGGGTCATCACGGGAGGGGGAGCGACCGCAGGGAAGCCTGGCCGGAGTGCTCGCCCAGGGTGCAGGAGCACAGGCATGGGATGGGAGGCTGGGGACACTGAAGCATCTGGGCCAGAGGGTCCTCAGAGGACCATCACCCTGCTCTGGACACCCCCGGGACGCCCTGGTGTCTGTCCCTCCTGACAGAGCAGCCCTACCTTCGCGTGTGGGAGCATCCGGCATCATCAGAAAGCAAACAAAACCAAAAACGAACCCTTTTCTTGCTTGAGGGAAGCGGAGCGGGTTTCTGTCGACTGCACTCAAGGAAGTCTGGCCGACTCAGGAGGACATGTCATTTTATTCAAAGGCACCGGGGCACTTCGGGCCTTGGCCGAGGTAGGGAAGAGGAGAGGTCAGCAGAGACAGCTCGCGTGCGTCCCGTTCGCCGGCCGAGAGCATCTTGCCCTGTCAGCCTCGCTCACCTCCCAAAGCTTTCCAGCACAAGCCTTACATCAGATGCATACACCCCATTCCAGATGAATCTCCAGGAAAACCACACTTTCAACTCTCGCCTGGCCCTCCTGCCCACGGTGCAGGTCCCACGCGTTCTCTGCGGAAGACACAGGAGCGGCTGAACGGCAAGGGCACCGGAGGAGCCGCCGGTCTCGCTCCTGTGCCGGGTGAGAACCCCCTCCGTCTCACAGAGGGCGTCTGTGCAGCAGCAGCAAATGGCCCGGAGGCCTGCAATCTAATAAAACGCCATCTTGTAGAAGTAAAAACCAAATGAGACAATTACGTTAACAGTGTGACTTGCCACCCAGCAATGGGATTCCGAATCACATCTCTCACTGCCCTTCCTATCAAGACGCACCGCCTTCTGTGAATTCCTCCGTCACCTCGGGAAGGTAACAGCTAGCTGGCTGGATGCGTGTCGTACTCCAAATGAGCCACGCCTGGGGATAAAAATGTGCACATAAAACCGGGTGTAGGGGCGCCTGGGTGGCGCAGTCGGTTGAGCGTCCGACTTCAGCCAGGTCACGATCTCGCGGTCCGTGAGTTCGAGCCCCGCGTCAGGCTCTGGGCTGATGGCTCAGAGCCTGGAGCCTGTTTCTGATTCTGTGTCTCCCTCTCTCTCTGCCCCTCCCCCGTTCATGCTCTGTCTCTCTCTGTCCCAAAAATAAATAAAACGTTGAAAAAAAAAATTAAAAAACAAAACAAAAAACCAGGTGTAAAACGGGGTTCTTCCCCTGAACCGAGCCCCTAACTCTCTCATCGGCCTGTTAAAACAGCAGCCCCATGGGAAAGGAGATGGGGCTGACGGGTCATTGGAAATAAAAGCCGCTTTCTCGGGTGGAAGTAACTCTAATATCCTAGACTTGTTTACCTGTGATCCTGTTCTCCCTGTCCATCCCCCTCGATGCCAAATCCCTGCCTCCGTCATGAAATGAAAGCTCAATGGCCCAGAGATAATTTGAACAAACCTATTTCACTGGGGACATTCTCATTTTTATCTTCATTAACTCCGTGGTCCCTGTCAAGTATGCTGAAAGCAGGATTTATGCTTTAGCTGCTGGGTGGAGAGGATCTTAAAATTTAGACAATTTGTACATTTAACTGAGGCAGAAGATATTACAGGTTTTGTAGACAGATGCAAACTGTTTTCTTTTTCTAGTAAAAGAAAACCGTTATCACCTCAATCACTGTATTTTTTAACTGAAAGAATTTTATAGTACGATACCCTGGTGAAGTTCACTAATTTTTTCTCACAAACGAAACAACACGCATTTATTTCATAAGCCCACATCCCTTAAGAGAAAAAAACACGCGCGTGCACGCACACGCGCACACGCGCACACACAGTAAGCCTGTTCTCAGGTGAATGGCTAGAGTGAACAGTGGCTCATCCTGGGTGACTGGCTCTTTATAAAAATCTGCGAAAGTCAGAAATGCTAACGTATGGGGAGTTCACACGAGGCCCCAGAGCAGCAGCAACTGACAAGACACGAAAAACACTCCATCATGAATCCCATCTCCCTGATGCCCACAGAACACCATCACTCTGATTCAATTAATTCTACTTTTTTTTTTAAATGTTGATTTATTTACTTTAGAGAAACAGAGAGAGGGAGAGAGAATGAGCAGGGGAGGGGCAGAGAGAGAGGATCCCGAGCAGACTCCTCGCTCAGCACAGAGCTGGACAGCGGGCTCGATCTCCTGACTGTGGGATCGTGACCTGAGCCGAAATCAAGAGTCGGACGCTCAGCCGACTGAGCCACCCAGGTGCCCCAATTCTGCTTTCTGTAAAATGTGGTGGCTCCTCAAAACCTGTGTTCAGAGAAGGGTTCTTCAAGCACCCGTCATCACACAGACGATTAGGAGAGCTCCACATCACTGAGGTCTCTGTCTTTCTAATTAAATACAATTCAGCATTTGTGTTCTGTTCTATTTCCCGAGCACACGGGTCTTTGGTGAATTCAAGAGGAACAAACATCGGTGGTGCAGTTATGAGGCATACGTGCTCAGAGCAACTCGAAACCAGAAACGCCCAAATTAGAAATCATCAGCGGTAAGGTCTCAGAACACATTTTTCAAATACATAATGGATTTTATACGTGATTTTCCACAGAACCTGGTTCTGTTTTAAGGTGGTGTTTTCCCGAGCAGGCTCCAATAGCTGGGCATTTCTCTGGTCTTTGGACAACATGAAACAGATTCACCAAAACATCATGGACTGACTCACAGGTGACATGGTCCTTCAGGATATTTCCTCTCTGGCTAATACTTAGATGGGCTCTGCAATTTCATTCAAAAGCAAAGTTTCGATGTGCAAAATTTCTAAACTGCAGAATGCCAGTGAACAGAGATACGCCATTCACCATCAAACTGGGATTTAACCTCCATTTTCTAGATCCTACGACACAGAACCAGAGACCTAACCTTGAGGCCAGTCTTCTTCTACGTGGCCCTACGGATAGGTCCGGTAGAACTTACCAGAAGCATTGCTGATGTTCCATTGGGCCTGGATAAGTGGATGGACATTTCAGGAAACATCCTGTCGATGCGGCTGATCACATCATCAACATACCTACGTGGGAAAAAGAAGTCACAGGTATGAACTGGAAACTTAGTCAAAGAAACACACATCTACGAGGTACTAAAGACTTCTCGCTTCCATTTGCTAATCAGTGCAATAGAGTCAAGGAGGCAAATGGCATTTACAAGTTCTTTTTACAAAAAGTACTACTCCCTTGTTCCTCCTTGTGCCTTTCAGGGCCAACCAGTTCTCAGTGAATTCTTCTAGCATTTACCTCTGTATTTCCACAGGACACATTTTTAATGCCAGTTCTTGCTTTTTCATTTCATTTTTTTTTTTAACTTTTTATTTAAATTCTAGTTAGTTAACGTACGGCGTAATGTTCGTTTCGGGTGTACAATATAGCGATTCGACACGTCCGTGCATCACCCAGTGCTCATCATGACAAGTGCGCTCCCTAATCCCCGCCACCTGTTTAACCCATCCCCCCACGCAGCCTCCCCACTGGTCACTATCCGTTTGTTCGCTACAGAGTTAAGGGTCTGTTTCTTGGTTTGCCTCTCACTCTTTTTTTCTTTTTTAACCCCCTTTGCTCATTTGTTTTGTTTCTTAAATTCCACATGAGTGAAATCATATAATATTTGTCTTTCTCTGACTGATTTATTTCACTCAGCATAATACTCTCCAGCTCCATCCATGTCATTGCAAATGGCAAGATTTCATTCTTTTTATGGCTGGGTAATATTCCACTGTGTATGTATATACACTACTTATATAACTTATTCTTAATCCATTCATCAACTGAGAGACACTCAGGCTGTTTCCATAATTGGGCTACTGTAAATACTGCTGCTATAAACATTGGGAGGCATGTATCCCTTTGAATTAGCACTACTGTATTCTTTAGGTAAATACCCAGTAGTGCGATTGCTGGATCATCGGGTAGTTCTTTAAAAAATTTTTTTTTTCAACGTTTTATTTATTTTTGGGACAGAGAGAGACAGAGCATGAACGGGGGAGGGGCAGAGAGAGAGGGAGACGCAGAATCGGAAACAGGCTCCAGGCTCTGAGCCATCAGCCCAGAGCCCGACGCGGGGCTCGAACTCACCGACCGCGAGATCGTGACCTGGCTGAAGTCGGACGCCTAACTGACTGCGCCACCCAGGCGCCCCGATCATCGGGTAGTTCTGTATTTAATTTTTTGAGCCGCCTCCATACCGTTTTCCACAGTGTCTCCACCAGTTTGCATTTCCATCAACAGTGCAAGACGGTTCCCCTTTCTCCACATCCTCGCCAAACTTGTTGTTTCTTGTCTTGTTGATTTTAACCATTCTGACAGGTGTGAGGGGGATACCGCACTGATTTGCATTTCTCTGATGGTAAGTCATGTTGAGCATGTTTTCGTGTGTCTGTTGGCCACCTGTAAGTCTTCTTTGGAAAAATGTCTATTTATGCCTTCTGCCCATTTTTAAATTGGATTATTCCTTTTTGAAGTGTTGAGTTTTGTAAGTTCTTTGTAGATTTTGGATACTAACCCTTTATCAGATATGTCATTTGCAAATATCTTCTCCCATTCTGCCTTTCAGTTTTGTTGATTTTTTTTTTTTTTTCACTGTGCAGAAGCTCTTTATTTTGATGTAGTCCCAATAGTTTACTCTTGCTTTCCTTTGCTTCAGGAGGCCTATCTAGAAAAAAGTTGTTATGGCCAATGTCAGAGAAGTTACTGACTGCTTTCTTCAAGGACGTTTATGGTTTCAGGTCTCACATTTAGGCCTTTAATCCATTTTGAATTTATTTTTGTGTATGGTGAAAGAGAATGGTCCAGTTTCATTCTTTTGAATGTGGCTGTCCAGTTTTCCCAACACCATTTGTGGAAGAGACTCTTTCCTACTGGATATTTTTTCCTGCTCTGTCGAAGACTGATTATATAGTTACAGGTTCATTTCTGGATTCCTATGCTGTCCCACTGGTCTGCATGCCTAGTTTTGTACCAGCCCCATACTGTTTTGATGACTAATGCTCCGTAATATGACTTGAAGTCTGCAATTGTGATGTTTCCAGCTTTGCTTTTCTTTTTCACGATTGCTTTGGCTCTTTGGGGTCTTTTGTGTTTCCAGACAAAGTTTAGGATTGTTGGTTCTACGTCTGTGAGAAACGCTGTCGGTATTTTGATAGGGGATTGATTAAATGTGGACCGTTTGGGGTAGTACTGACATTCTAACAATATCTGTCCTTCCAATCCATGAGCATGGAATGTCTTTCCATTTCTTTGTGTCCTCCTCAATTTCTTTCATCATTGGCTTGTAGTTTTCAGAGTCCAAGCTTTCACCTCTTTGGTAATCTTCACTCCTGGGTATCTTACTCTTTCTGGTGCAATTGTGAATGGGACTGAATCCTTAATTTCTCTTTCTGCTGCTCTGTTATTGGTGTATTGAAGTTCAACAGATTTCTGTACGCTGACTTTGTATCTTGAGACTTTACTAATTTATCAGTTCTAGCAGTTTTTTGGTGGTCTTTTGGGATTTCTATATACAGTATCATGTCATCTGCAAATGGTGAAAGTTTTTTCTTCCTTGCCAATCTGGATGCCTTTTATTTATGTTGTCTGATTGCTGTGGCTAGGATGCGTTTTCATTTTAACGTGTGACCTCGTGACTTTCTTCCCTAGGAGATCAGAATTTAGCTCTGTCACCACGCTGGCCGCTGGGCTCCAACACGGAAGCCCTTCCTTCTGCCTTCTAGTCCGGAAATGGCAGCAGTCTCCTGTCACTGTTCGTATCTAGCAGCCTCGCCGTCCCGTTTGGCTTCTCACTTCAATCACCTGAATAACTAATTCCCTGTATCAAATTCCCTCTGTTTTAAATACCTGAGTTCCTGTTTTCCTGGTTGGTTCTAATTAATTCAAGTTCACATCGTAATTTTTGCTTAAATCAGTATTTTGCACGTACATTCTAAAATCTCTTTATATATTAAAAAAAAATTTTTTTTTAACGTTTATTTATTTTTGAGACAGAGAGAGACAGAATATGAACGGGGGAGGGTCAGAGAGAGAGGGAGACACAGAATCTGAAACAGGCTTCCAGGCTCTGAGCTGTCAGCACAGAGCCCGACGTGGGGCTCGAACTCACAGACCGTGAGATCATGACCTGAGCTGAAGTCGGATGCTTAACCGACTGAGCCACCCAGGCGCCCCAAATCTCTTTATATATTTTAAGTAGCTGAGCCACACATGACTCATGAGTACATTTATTTACTTGTACGACTTCTGTTTTGCTTTAATTTTCACTTGGTTAGTTTTCTATGTCTACTACAATTTTATCCCGGAACTCTCTGACTCTAAAACTTCTCTCACTATAGTCAGACATACCAGGCAATCTGTCAGTTCCATTTTTCCTGGAGACATTCCTCTGCAAGAGTCTTCTCCTCTCCTAGCCCAAATGGAACTTAACCCTCTTACGGTTTAACAATCGTTGAGTTTCGTAATCACTGATCTTAAGTACTTAGCATGGTGCCTGGCACATATTAAGGACTCGAAAATTACAAATACTCTTATTGGTACATCACGGGCCTGCTCTGCAAAATGCTTCTCTTAGCAGGATGAACTCTCCCCTCCAGTGGACTCTCCCCTCTGGTGGAACTCTCCCCTCCGTGCCAACCCACAGTATCAACAGAGCTGGGTCTGGCTTACATCCTTTGAGGATAAAATCATACCAATGTTTGTGCTCACCACCAATCACACTGGATACAAAGGGGATGTATAATACAATAGCTGAGATGCAAAACTATCTATTAAGGATTCTGCATTGGATTTCATATCCATTGGATATGACAAATTAAATTACATGTCCATTAGATCAGGGACATATAAAAGCTACATTCTCTTGGGGGAAGAGGGAGATTAACTCTCCACTCACAATGTGGAAAGATTTTAGTTCAAAACCGGGGGCTCACGAAAGACGACATTAAGCCATTTGTTAAAAAGGGAACACCAATGGGGGCGCCTGGGTGGCTCAGTCGGTTAAGCGTCCGACTTTGGCTCAGATGGAGATCTCATGGGTTGTGGGTTCAGGTCCCGCATGAGGCTCTGCGCTGACGGTGCAGAGCCTGCTTAGGATTCTCTCTCTCTCTCTCTCTCTGCCCCTCCCCAGCTTGCGCTGCTCTTGCTCTCAAAACAAATAAATAAACTTAAAAAAAAAGTGAACATCAATGTATCAGTTATGAAAGTTGGGGAGTAACAGTACTGATGAACCTATCAGGTTTCCTTAGAGAATGCCCTGCACAGTTTTAGACTTGGAGCTGAAGAAGGGAGAAAAAACCAAGGGGGGCCCAGTGGTAAACAACAAGGATAGTAAGCAGACTGGACCAGAGAAGTGCGAGAAGAGAGGGTGCAGACATCTAGGAACCCAGTACCCAACAGCCCTCTCCCACCTCTGGAAAGGACCAGAAGATGAGGGCAAGGCCTTAAAAAGTGAACTGGCTCAGAGACAACAAGAGGTATTTCTTAAAAGCGAGGCCCCATTCGGTTCCTTTTTTTTTTTTAAGATTTTATTTTTTTTAAGTAATCTCTACACCCAATGTGGGGCTCGAACTCATGACCCCAAAGGACCAAGAGCTGCATGTTCTACCGACTCAGCTAGCCATGGGCCTTCCCCCCATATTCCGTTGATTTAAAATGGGCGAGGGAACGACCTTTCCTGGGTGGTAAGGAACAGACCAAGACATCATCGTCTCCCACAGCCCCCCTCTAGATTAACAGCTTCATGATACAACCTTGACTCTGAGCCACAAATAGGTAAAAAGAGGAAGAAAGGAGGAAGCTAACTCATGTTTCATCACTGCCTGATGCCTGATGTTGAAACGGCAGAAGACACCTGGCAAACTTCATGTCAAAAGTCTACACCAAGACGCTGGAAACATTTCTGCATTTACATACTTCTCGAAATCTGTGTGCGTAGTCTAAACCCAATTATTTCAGACTCAGCAGGAAGCAAAAATCTACTGTCCTGTGTGATTGGAGGTCATTGCTAAGTATATGCTAATGGAGAGGGGGG